CTGTTTTCGATACATTAAAATTCAGCTCGGCAGTAAGGCCTAGAGGACACTAACAAAGGGACATGATTGACATGTTTATTCAATTCTTTTGTTTGTGTCCTCTAGGTCTCACTATCAAGCTGAATTTTAATATGTCGAAAGTGGCCTATTGACTGTTATAGCTAAATTTCGAGAAAAATGACATGACTGATAGTTGGGCGCGTGCATTGCTCGCAATGCTTCAGATAATGCTAAAACATACGTTGAACTCACTGTACGGCAAGAAACTTAGTAGCGCTACTGTAATGAATTCATCAGTTCAAAGTTGAGTATTCCTTCGGCGCTGATGCTGTTGATAAGTCCACACCTTGAGGTTGTTGCGAGCACTGTCAGTCTTACAAGTAGAAGCCGATTCACATTCACCTGCCACACATTGTTGAGCGGAACAATTTCAGGCTTAGCACGCGTGTAGCTGGGTGACAAACCTCTGGTTTAGGAGCAAAATAGAAATTTTACTGATAGTAGATATGAGCGATCAAAAGTAAAATGTTTTGGAACACAGAACAAAGGTACAAACTGTTTGCTCAGAGTTAATTGACCAGAGAAACAAAATGATCAATGTTAAGACATTGAGGATCACAAAGACGAATCTTGGCCTACATCGATTCACTCGCAATTGAACTATTAAACTTTACAATTGCACTTTAGAGACAAGACGGATTCTTTATCTTGCCTCAGTACGTTGTTTGGCCATCTTTCCTTAAGTAGAACAATGTATGACTGAAAATGTTTTCGTTATTCAGGTATACAAGCGGAAAGCGAGCGAAGCATTTGAAGGAGGAGAAAAACTGTTACTTTTTGGACCCTCCTTGGTAATCACTGTTCTCAACTTGGTATTTCCTTTCATCTTCGACTTTTTATCGCGATTTGAAGACTGGAGCCCAGGCTTCGAAGTCAACATCACCTTGTTTAGGTAGGCACCCTCATGTTAGTACTTCGTGTATGACGTAATTTAAAATACCACTGCACCACCTGTAGTATTCACTTACGTTTATTAATATAAAAATCTCCAATTAAATAAATGAGGACAATAAATTCCACATTGCAGTTATTCTAGTCGCCTTGATAAATAAATCTTGCATCAGAAAATTTATGTTTGTAAAATTCGCGAACACAATGTACCCACTGAGAATAACCTTTGGCCTATTGGAATGCAGTGGAATTCCAATTTTTCGAAGCTCCATGTGAAACGAAAATTGGTTCGACCGAGGGGAGCGACACGACTTTTGGCTCGAGTTATTGGGAGGTTCGAAAAATTGGGGGTTCAAGAAATTAGGATTCCACTGTACATGTTCCTTTATCCACTGTACATGTTCCTTTACCTCCCGCTACATTGCAGGGATCTGATTGGTAAAGTTAGCAAATGTGTTCCCTCAACTTACATTTAATTTTGCTTCTTGACTGCTCTCTTCCGCTCGCCTAGTTGGCACAGACGGCCTCGTTTCTTACAAACTCTCTGTTTTACAGGACTGTCCTGTTAAGGCTGGCATCATTAGGTGTGCTGATGATAAAGATCTATTCAAAAGTCGATGAAGCATGCGAGGACAACCCACAGACATGCTGCCAGCAGGTGCGAAGTTTCTGTGCATTTGATCAGATTGTTGTCGTTGTTGCTGTCGATGTTGCTTTTATTAACAACAACAAAGGTTTATCATTATCCAATTTGAAGCACAAAGAGCAAAGTCATTAATTTATCGATTTATCTCTTCAATTTGATGAATCAGTGGCTTTCTTAATTTGTTTCAGAACTGGGAGAACGAAATCGCTTCTCAGATGTACATGTTGATATGGCTTGACTTTTTCTCGCATATCTTTTCATCCCTTATGGTCACTTCAATCAGGAAGTAAGTTCATTAACATTGTGAATACTGGTGACTAGTGAAAAGAACTTTTAGAACGTAGAAAATATTTTACAAGGTATCGCGTTTTCCATATGATCGTCGGTTCTATCGTGCACGAGTCGGGAAAAGTTCACCAAGAGCGTGACGCGCGAGTCTTAATAGTCCACGGAATGGGGAGCGCAGGATCTAGACGTTAGTCATTTAACAAATTGAAGTCAGTTTTTTATGCGTCTGTCCTCTTTTAAATTGCGTCATAACATTTTCAAAGTGGCTGTGGAACCACGAGCCGTAGGCGAGTGGTTCCGCAGTAAACTTTGACAATGTTATGACGAAATTTATCATCAATAAGAGGACAGATGCATAAAAAACTGACGTCAATTTGTTTTCTACAATAACAAGACCCCAAAATGGCCAAATGCCAGGATAAATGAGGGGAAAAGACGCCGTAAACTTGCCGTAAATAAAAATAAGTGAATTTTATTCAAAACGACGCGAGCAGTCAATACCTCTTCTCACTTTTTGATTGGCTACTTAAAAAAGTCAATAAAATCTCATTGGTTAAAAAGTTGACAGTTTGACAGCTCAAAGTTGAACTCGGAAGCTTGCATAAATTAAAATTTTATCCGTCTGTACTCTTATTGATGATAAAAATGAGCCAATCAGCGCGCGAGAAATTAGACAGTTATTGTAAAAAATGGTTCGTGCTGAGGCAGGAATGTTTGTTTTACTGTTACACCCGCGCTTTGCGTACGTCACGCGTGTGTTCCTTTACACTCGAGCGACGAACACGTAAAATTTTAACAAACTGGCGCTTAATGCCTTCCTGAACCACTCGTGTCTAACTGAAACTTTTAATTGAGACAATGCTCTTGAAACGTCTAAGAATCTTTGCATGCAAATTGAAGCCTACCATTTATTTCATTTCACCTTATTTCAAATTGCCGATGATTTATTAGAATTGCTTGTTGCATCAGTGCTTTCCAATTAGTTCCTATCCAGATTTAAGTGGCGCGTATTTCAGTGTTAAGTAGTAACCTGTTTTAATTTTAACTTCTTTCGCAGACTGTTGTATAAATACACAGAGTGTTTCAAAAAAGTTGGCTTGCCTGTCTTTGACATTCCAAAGCAGGTTTTACGACTGGTGTACGGTGAATGTCTAATCTGGTGAGTTGTTAGACTTGAAGCAATAATTGTCACAACTATCTAAACACGGCACTCATAACCACTAGAGCGGTTTTCAACCGAGTGTCGTAAAACCAAAGCCAAAGTAATTAGTCTAGCCAATCACAAAGGACACAATCAGGCAATACAGTCAACCAATCAAAACTCGCACAAAGCGCGGGAAAACGTGTGAGAACGAGTTACGAGTGATGGTTTTACTTCTGATTGGATGAAAAAAAAAAGCGCTAGTTTTTTAAGCTAATCGCCATGAGTAGGCTTTCCGACACCCAAGTGAAAAGCGCCATATTAGCACAATAAACTTATCAGAACACGCAACCGCTAGTTCCACGCGCGGGAAAACTGGAAGAAAAACGTCAACTAGCGGGTACACAAACAAGGTTGGAGAGGTTATAAGGCTGTTTTGGCCACGCCAAGATGGCTGCCAATTTTGGGCCCAACATGCCGAATTCGAACAGCTAAAAAAGCAGTTTTCGCATACCGTTTGCGACAAAAGTGGACAACATTTTAAAGCAATCTCAGATACAAAAGTTTCGTTGAGTAAAACTTGAAGAACATGTTCCTTTACCTTTTTTAAAGTTATTTCATATTATAACTTTACAGCTAATTGAGGGCCCAAGCAAAACGTAAAATATAAAAATCAGTGTTATTTTATAAAAGGGTATAAGACATGATTACGTCGATGATTATAAAATCTTACCTAAACGCTATGAAAAGAAATGGTCTCGTAAGCGACAGAACTCAGTAGTGACTGTTCACAGTGAAAATCTTCCAGTGTCGTCGCTGACGTTATTAGTCTTGTTTTAAACGTGATCAATGATCAGGCTCTCCTTGCCCACATCAGAGATACGAGAAAAAGCGAAGGAAACAAAAGAGAATGTACAGAATGTTTCTGTACAGGATATGTTAATGTAAATGTTCTTTTTACTTGTAGGATTGGAACCTTCTTTAGCCCTGTCATGCCAGCGATGGGGGTTGTGAAGCTCTTTATTATATTCTACGTTGAGCTGGTATGAGTTGCATTTTAACCAAAGAATTACATGTACCTGAAGGACAAGTTTAAGAGTATTGAGCTATTTATAACAGCCGTTTATTCTCAAGGTGTTATCCTCAAAATTGTGGTCCCGGTCACGTGCTACATGTTTGCACCTAATCGAGTGAGCCATGAGAACTCCGTAAATTCTCTCGAGTTTGGCACTTATGTTATCTTTGAAACACTGTAAATTCCAGTTCAGCCAAGTGATCGACTTGAAAAAACCTAGCATTTCAGTAAGAATAGTATGATATAGATAGGTATGAATATGATTTGAATATGCATGACATCGCCGTCAGAGACATGCATATAAAATGCCGGTTTTCTTTGACAACATAACATTTATAATATAGCATTATTAGTCCGCACAGCATGATGGCATAATAAACCTTTGGTCCGCAATGCGTGCAGAGACCTAAATCTTATTTAGCATCATAGGCTTGCAATGCTTACCCAGAGCTACATAGTATTACTTTTGGTGTACACTTTCACGAAAAGAGAACTTCTTAAAGTAGAAGGGTTCCACCTGCATGGCGTGTGTCATGTCGTGTCTCACCACAAGCTAAAATTACCTTTTTTTTCTTTTAAGCTTGCAGTGCTGTTAAACTACCGGCCCTCGCAGAAGGCGTACAGAGCAACTCGTTCCAACCACTTGTTCACTGTTTTACTTCTTAT